GCTGCCTATTATTATATAAAACAACAACTCTTTGCCGAAAAGATAGTTCATACAAGATACTAAAGGATCAAAGTTTTTTACTTACTCTTCGTTGCTGATCGGATCTCCTGCGTTAAAGCTTTCTTCTGCCAGTGTATAGTCGTCATCATCATGGATGCTGGCGTCACTGCTGAAGTCATGCTCAACATCTGTATCGTCGAGGTTTGCTCCAAATTCGTTTGCATTCTCCTCTTCGGAAGATTCGTTCCGTAAGTCATCTTTGTCATCGTTGTTTTCCCATTTCACATTATCCCAAAGGTTTATTTCTTTCATATGTCTTTCGACGTCTTTCCCTGTCTTGAATCTCTTCCCGGATGGATCTATGAATGTTACCATTTTCCGTTTACGTCCACCACTCGAATTCTCTCTCTCGTTCAACTTCCATCCAAGCGAAACGAGTTTTTCAATATCAAAATTGAGCCGCGACCCAAACCCAACTCCACGAGAGAGATTTAGGTTTTTACCAATATTTGATTCAGCGTCGACGCTACTCGTAGTCGCAGCCATATTTGCGTGAATATTAATTCGGAATAGCAAAACAGCAGTATGTAATATGAGATAATTGACATGTCATCGCTAAACGCCATAGGTGTGGTTGCCAGCTATCGCAATATAATTGGCTAATTTGATTTCCTGCGGAATTTTTCCAAGCTACTAATAGGGTTTACAATGCTTATTCGTCCTTTTATGCAAGTAGATTTCAAGTATTAACCACTGACCATTGATTGTTGGCTCATCAAAACATAGGAAAATTGTGTGACAACTCAAAATAGACGAATTCTTCGGACAAAACAGCCATAATTTTAGGTAATATTGCAACAATTTGATATAATTTGATCACAGTAAGGACTAAAATGTTTATATCTTTCTCTGTATTCAACATATTTCAACAAAATTTGGCATAAACATAGGCAAGAATGCAACAAACAATTTGCACGGAGTACGCATTTGTCCGCCTAATAAAGTTCGGTTAAGAATTTTTTATCTATATGTCATCACTAAAAAACGGGGAATATATGTAAATCGGAGGCAAATGCTCGAACGACGGCGTACTCCGTACAAAATATTTCTATTGATGCCTTAAGTAAAACCTCGTTGTTTCAGCTCAATACGTTTAAAACGAAAGCTACAATTAATGGCTAAATATGGCTATTTTGGGACTTTGGCATGCATTCCCACACCCCCCTGGACACAAAACTGTTGTTGAATTGCAAAAATGAGTTGAACAACCCAAGGCCTTTCGAAATACTAGCTTTCAGATTTTTTCGAATTTTCAAATTTGAGTCTCCAGTACTACCTTAATTCATTTGATCATTAATGTACTTTAAGAAAGTATGCATCGTCATTTTTAAACTAATATCGTATGTTTTGCTTTTCATAATAGTTCAGTTGCTACAAACATAATATTTTCAACTCGGGGGGGGGATGTGGGAGGGTGGGTGGGTGAGGGTACTATCATCACGTTAAAAAAGATTTATTTCTTGTAGATCTATAAATACGCAACGTTAAAAAATCAATCAGACTTAAGAATATTAAATATATTGTGCTAGAAAAGAACACCCCATTTTTGGCGACTATAGTGACGCCCCTCTTGCCTTAGTTATGAGAGGGAGTGTGGATAGGGTCAACACAGAAATGATGGATGTTCGTTGGCGTATGTTCAAATTACATCGCCAAATACCAAGAGATGAACAAAAACATATAAAACCTTGTGGTTCTTGCTTTGCCAAGCTCATCTTAGATAATGTAGAGCGGTAGCAAACAACAATTTACTAACAGGATGAGATAATTAGCTTAATGATATATTTGTCTGTCAACAAATAATTTATAGATCAATGCTCACTGACGGATCTCAGCATAAAATACAATGTTTTATTAGTTTTTTAATCATTAACATTATGCATTTGCTCATTTTTCTCACAGAATATGTATAATAAGAATATTATAGTCAACAAGATTTAATATCATCAAAAAATATACCAAACATAGTCTATTTTAAACGAAGCTCACTCGATGACTGTAAATGAATTTGATATCTTACTGCTTATACTTTATGGCGCAAGTGAGAATCGTTGATGAAAATCATCTCTCAATTGCTTATATTGTTCTCAATTGTTTTAAAATTTGGCAGAGTTATACTGTAGGTATGGACTCATTCATCCATCGCTACTTTTCTAAATAAAAGTTCTTAATAAGTCAATTACAGCGATATAAGATGCAAAAGTAAGGGGTGAGATTCGTTTCCTAGTGTGCTCACTCAGCTCACTTGTCACGTGTCTAACTAAATATACTAATATTTGGTTCTATAGCCCTTTCCAGTGATTACTGCGTCGATGCGTCTAGGCATACTTAATAGTAAATTATTTATATAATCTACAGAAGTGTCCAAGAGTGTTTTACAAACTCTATCTTTGAACTCCGTCCATGTTTCATGATTGATTCCCCGTGCTCGAACCTGCATCTCTAAATTGCTTTTAAGTTTTAACAATGTGAAAAACATTTTCAATCGGATTTAGGTCGGGGGATTGAGCAGGTATACAGAACAACTGAGCACCTTGATATTTGATAGCTTTCATAGCCATTGCACTAGTTTGGGAAGGGTCGTTATCCATAACAAACATCTTTCTGCCTTCTCGTCCATGAAATAGAGCCGGGAAATTTCTCCTAACAAACTCACTGAAATATACGGCATTCATCTTCGTGTATTCCTCGACACAAAACACTCCCACATTGTATGCAATTGCGACTAGTAAATGCAAACGCTTTCCCCCTGCTAGGTTTTTGGAACCTTTAGCTGTTATCTTTAATCCTTGCGCCCTTTTCCTCCATACTTTGCCTTTTGGTGCTGAGATTTGTGCCATTGGCCTTGGCTTGTGCACGAATGAAACACCGTCTAGATAGAAAGCAATGGCCTTGTGGAAAAACATGGGCTCATTCTGTAAAATTTGCTTACATTCCCTCGCAAACATTAGACGTTTACCGCAGTCAGTTCGGCTCACTAATCCCTTTTTCCACGCTTGAAGATACTGAAATCCTTCACGGCGCAGTTCTCGATAAAATGTTCTGTACGAAATGCCTGACAAATGAAGTCCACTGCAGGCGACCAGTGATTTAATTGAAAAGCCAGGATTAATTTCCAGTAACTTAAACAATGATCTGAGTAAATGGCGTCTGTCTCGAGGTGACAATTTTGTGGGCCTTCCTCGTTTTTCCTCAGATATTGTTTGCTTTTTGCTGTTACTTAAAATACGACACACTGTTGATTTTGAAACACCGGCCTTTTCTGAAAAAGAACGTACGCACGATAAAGAACCTAGATAAAGAACGTACGCACGCACTTGATCAGTAATATTACCATGATAAACCATTTTTATTGAATTAATCAGCTTGCATTGACTTGCTATACCTGCAAGAGCGCGCGGCTGCAATTTATAGTCTCATGACGTGTTGTTATGCAATATGCCTTTATCAGATATACATGTCATCAAAGATAGGCTTAATGCAATTGTTTTCAAGTACTTGTTGGGCTGAGTAACCTTAGTGTAATTCTGAGTCACTGCGAAAGAAACGTAAAATGTTATCAATCGCAACTATACTTCTCCATTATGATGTAATATTTTATTAATATAACCATTGCACAAATTTATGTAAATTTCCTAAGCTTAAAAACAATCGTTTTAAATATAGCAATGATGCTGTAAAAACAGCAATTATTCACATATAACAAAATGCTGATAGGTAATGAATAAATTACGCAAACTAACTGCGTGTTTAACTCGAAAATCACAAAGTAACCTTAACTTGCATAGAAGTTTAGTGGCGGTGCATTTACAGACAATCTTTGCCAGAAACTATGGGACAAAGAGAAACGTCTTAACACCGTTAATGTTCAGTTTCCCCCATGCCCCCTGTTCAATGTTGCTGCCATAAAAAATAATATATCACAAGCGAGACGTCTTCTGGCATAGACGCAACATTGAAAGGGGTGGGGGGAGGGAGTGGGGGATACTTATCTGTAAAAAATGCATATAACGTTCTTAAAACTAAATTGTTCCATAGTATAATGGAAAAGATTGTAGTTTGGCTCTTATTATAATTTTAAGTGGCACCATGTAAATTATGTCTATAAAAACCTTTTTAAATGCACTGATGAATATATTGATCCTGTTCCTATCTGCTGTTCCTGTTTCATAGCCTCAGGGAAGTAGCAGTTCTGACTGGTTCTGATGAGTCATGAGAACCCCACTCCCCAACCCAGAAGGAAGGTAGGGGGATGAATAGAGGTAGAGGGAAGCCCAGCCATTAGGACCCAAGGTTTCAAAAGCTTCCTGTCTAGCACCACCACTAGGCATAGACGGATCTTCTGGGGGGTGCAGGGGGGTGCAACCCCCCAATATTAGCTATAACCCCCCAAACAAAATGTCCACCCCTCCAAAAAAAATTTCAAC